GCGGGTCGCAACCAATTCGGGTTGCGACCAGAGTCGCGGAACGAATTAAGTTTGTGAACCGAGGTACCACTGTACTCATGTTTAAAATTTTTAATCATTCAGGAGTAGAAAAGTGAAGAAAACGCAAAAAAGAAGAAATGAATTTTTAAATATTTTCCTGCATATGTACGAAGCAGCAGCCTTGCAATTTCTTTTCACTCTTGTAGCCCCTTGTAATTCCTCTTTCTCCTGCAGCTCTCTGTTTGCCTAAGAGGTGGTATAAGGAGAAAGAAAACTAGTGAAACTTGTCTCCTCAGCCCTCTTCCTTCAGTGGGATACCTCTACTGGATTCAGTGCCATCTATTCATGGAAGGAATAATTCTGTTCGGAGAATTTGGATCCGTAATTGACTGAGCATCACTGAAAAATCTCCCTTGCTGTCATAACTCAAATGTTAATGAGGCAGCCCAAGATAAGTTTTTAAACACTATCACAGTGCTCATCTTGCAGCCAAATACCTATAACCCAGACATCTTCGTCTTTTATTTTTCTTGGTTCAGAAAATAGTTAAAAACAAGGAATGCAGGAGGAATCAGAACCTAGTAAAATCAGAGAACATCATAATTAATTTTTCATTTTCGAATATTTTTGCTTGCCAAAGTGGAACCATGTCATCTAAATGCACCCTATTTTGAGGAACTACATTTTCCTGCAGCATGATGTTTATTCCCAGGGAAAGAGTGATCAAAAGTGCAAATAAAATTCAAGTTTACTGATTTCAACACATCTGAATTTCAGCAAAGAAATCATGCATTGTCAAAGAAGACCTGTCCCATAACAGCTAGTTTTGAGTTGAATGGTTGAGTGGGACAGCTCAGTAACGGGACCGTCCTTTTTCCTTTCGGGTCTGAGCTTACTTGCCTCTCATAATCTTCAGAGGACGCATCAGTAGAATCTTTTTGTTTTCTTCCCATTTTATCTGAAGTTCTTCTGAAAGTAAACTTCTTACTCTTGTTCAGAGAATAGAATTCCCTCATTAAGCTTTCGACCTCCCACTGTTCTTCCTTTTGGTTCCGGCAACAGTGCAGGGCAGCAGGATCTATAGGATGGGCTTCTGTATTGAAGATATATCCACCAGCATCAAGAATGCATTCTCCATATGGTGTCAGCAAGACATCAAAGGATGATCCATTGTTGTGAATGAAGTTGTCAGGGTCAAACAGTAGATACAAATATTTCACTGTTTCAGCCAGGAAGAAGGACTCCATTCGGTTATCTAATCTGTGATCTCTTAGGTCTTTGATCTTTAAAATAAAAGCAAAGAAGAAGGGGTTATGTTGAGATGTCAAAACTTGCTACATCACTAGCATCTTACCAACTGGGTTGGAGTTGGACTTAATGGCAAATCAAGAGATAACTCCTGGGGCAGTTCTGGTGATTTCTACCCTAGAATCAGAATTAAAACTTCTATGTACTATAGAAGAAGAAACACAGAATAAGCAAGAAGATGTTTACAAGGAAGACTTGAAAGGAATAAACTGACCCCCAATATCCCCACTCCACAAAAAAAGTTTGGGAGAAACACTTAACTGTTGCAAAGCCACATTCAACTTTGCTGATTTTTTCTATTGACTCTACCACATCTCTGCCCAGCTCCAAAAGTGTTGGATCTTGTGTAGCTCGATACAGATACATTGCGCTCTCTATTAGTTCTGCAAAGCCCCAAACAAAGAAATGGAAGTTACTTTGCTGAATATGCAAGTACTGTATATAATGAATATAATAGTATAATGCACAAAATACTAACTGCTCAGTCTTCTAAACACAATTAAACACAAAAGTATTCAATACATATAGTGTTCTTGTACTATCTAAAGCTTGATACAAAGGAGCACATTTTCTTTTATATGCATTTCACCTGTTATTCCATATAAGTGACAGCTGTTGTTCAGTTGCCTTGGGCCAGACTAGAGAATAAGCCTATCTGAGCCACTTGGGCTTTGCTCACTTGGCATTCTATAAATTTGATAGTAAAAATTCTTTGAGCCACTCAAAAGTGAAGTATAGCATCAATATTATGGACTAAACCAAGTCAGGTTAGTACTCTATAGAGATTTACCTGGGAATCCCAGAGCTATTGGCTAGATTGGTAAATTAAAAAAAAAAAATTCTGGAAGAAGGTAGCAGCAAACAAATTCTAATTGCTGCCAAAAAACCCAACATGAAAATGTCCACCTAGTCACCAAGGAGTTGAGTCTGATTTGAAGAAAACGTGACTTTTTACTATGAGAGGGTCTTCAAACAAGACGCATAGCAAATATACTTCAAATATGTTCATATTTACCAGGTCGAAGAGGGTACCCTTCACGCTTTTCTACTGTGTAGCCCTGAGGGATATTGTAGAACTCAGGCAGCCCACCAAACTGCTTCCAAACAGTGTAATAATTGAGAAATGTTCGCATTGCACTATCTATGTCTCCAATAAGGCTCTGGGAAAAAACAGTTATGTAATATTAATTTTTCCCCTTAGCAAATGATACAACTGCACATTAACATCTCCTGAGAAGACAAACAATGACGTTAGAAAGCAAATTAGGATTTTTAAAAACTCTGTAATTCAAACAGAGTTGAATTACACAATTTAAAAACTGTGTAATTCAAAAGTCACACTTAGATATTTGGGTTCATTGGCTATTCTGTTTGTAGAAAAATTTATTTCTGCCCAAGAATATTTCCACTGGATTCTTGTGAGAAAAGCAGGTCACATTTTGGTGGAAAGGCATCAGAAATCTGGCTTTATAATTGTCTTGGCAAGAGACCACAGTCCAAGGACTGATTTCCCCAATGCAGACATCTAATTTGCTCCATTTGTTTAATGCTTATGGTTAAGATAAGATTACTCAATTTATGCTTAGGATACAATCTACAGCACTGTATCTGTACCAGCCTTCTCTAATAAAAATTATACATAATATATTTTAACTATGCTAATTAACTTCAACTATTTTAAATCAATCTTTACCTGTAAGCCAGGCCAGTAAGCCTCCAAAGACTGAAAAACTGGCATTGAGACAGTTCCTTTGTACATATGAACCCACAGATACCAATCATCAAATTTTGTGTAGTTTTTTATAGCTTTGTTATAATCTAGAGTGAAAGAAAAGTTAAAGCCAGTGACAAATATTGGGTGAGAAATTCATACATATTCTAACTTCTAGTTGGAATTTCTAGAAACATCTAATAATTAAATAATATTTTATTGTACATCCTTTCGAGGCATCTTTTGATAAAATGGAATATACATTAAATATTTAATGTACAATCATCCTTTTACACTTAAACAAAAGAATGACCGCATAAAGAGGGTCAAGAAGTCGTATGAAATCTGCTCACCACACAGGAACTTTCAAGATAAATGCTATTCCAGGAAGGAAAGGACAAAACATAAAATACCTTTAAGGCTGATAGACACAAACAAGACTGGGTCAACTACAGTGAATGTAACTACTTGTCTCACTGTAGGTTATGTAGGTAAACCTTAGCCAAGATAAGGTAGATACAGAGGCTAAGGCAGATACAGGTTCACACTTACTGTATCTACACATTAGCACTGAATGTTTAAAAGGCCTAGATGGCCAATAATTGGAGGATTAGGGAGAAGAAGACAGAAAGTGAAGAAAATGCCACCTGGTTCTGAGTGACTGAAGAAGAAGAGCTAATGATTGAGTAAGGAATAAAAACACAGAAGGAATGCATTCTTTTTCTAGAAGTTCTGTCTTTGGTTTCTTATCCCACATTAAATGTATTGCACTAAAAAAAATAAATGGAAGAAAATATGTATCATGTAACCATAGGAACCTCTTACCTAGAAACATGGACATCAGCTCCTCATCCTGCAGCAGAATGGCCCCTTTAACAAGGTATTCAAAGTAGGAATCTACTCCTGCTCCAATCCCAGCATCTTGGGCCACCCATTTGGCAGTTACTACATCAATGTGATTACCTACCTGAAGGAGGGAAAACTCAGTTATTAAAGGTATGGACTAAGATTAACATGGCCTTGCATTTCTTTTTCATTTAGCAAAAGTTGAGTTTTGCTAATCAGTGCAAGCTTAAAAAATAATATCTAATGTGCAACACAAATGATTTATTTAGAGCCCTTTAAACATAGCATTTTCATTGTGCCTTTATAACTGTTAAGAACTAAGTCTTGGTTTAGAAACTTGGGTTTTGGTAAGGAACAAGATTTTAAATGTGACGGTCATCTACTCTTTAGCTTCATTTTATGAAAGTGCATTGTAAAAGAACATAGCCTAGGTATCCTTTCGAATAAACTGATGTTTTCTTTAGTATGGATTTTATTTGCATGTTAATTTCAGTAATAACCATTTTAAATTTTGGATCATATTAATTTCCAAGGAAGATATGCACATCAGAAACAAATAGAATCACACCAGAAAGAATTAAAGCTAATCTGTAAGAATATAAAGAAATGATTTTTGACAATTTCAGTTTTCAAAGTGTTTGTATATGCATGTATGCTATATCAGACTAGTTTCCTTTCAGTGGAAGTGTCTGGATGAATTAACAGAGTATAAGTGAATATTTTTTTCAATTTTAGCAACTATTTAGTTATAATGACATACCCTAACCTGGTAATAAAAAAAACCTTGCACTATTCTAATGAACAACTATTATAAAGTTGGCCATACTATTATTTATTTGCTTTTGGCATAAGCCAACTTTCTTCTTTTAGATATGGTCTACAATTCCATCATGTATTAGCCATGCAAATTAGGGAAAATGGGAGTTATAGACTATGTCTGGAAAGAACCTGGTTGGGGAAGGTCTAACCATATGATTTGGGGACAAATGAGATCTTCTGTTCTGTAGCAATCCCCTAACTTTGGAGTAGTCACCCTAAAGAAGCTTGACTGGAACTGACATTACAGTCTTTTTAATTTGTTTTATTGCCTCTGTATGCAAATTTATGGTTTTCTTGTCCTGCAGTTTTATGTTATTTGAAATATAATGCGTTATTATTATTACAGCAAAACCCTGATTTAACAAACTTTCACTTAACAGACTTTGGGTGCAGTCAACTGAACTTCTTTCTGGACATCTCAAAATCATGTACAGATCCATTGTATCTGATGAAGTCCAGCAGAGGCAGTTAAATTTGTATTAATTTTACAACAGCTGCAGTGATTTATCTCATTTTTGCAATAACAGAAAGTGCATCATTTGCATCAGTTCACATCATTTGTGTAATGTCATCATTACACAAATAATGTAAATTACAACGATGATGTACTTTTCATATTTGGGGAGTAACTGACTCCCTCTCTCCAGATGCTCCCTTAAACTGAGGCCTAGTTGTATACAGGTAGTCCTCGATTTACAATGGTAATTGGAACCAGAATTTCCGTCGCTAAGCAATGCGGTCGTAAAACATTGCCACATGACCGCATCGCTAAGCAATGGCAATCCTGGCATTCCCCATTGCCGTCATTAACCGAATTCCACCGGTTGTTAGCTGAGGACCCACCCCAATCTAAGCCATTCTGGGCTTGGTCCCTCCCAGCCCCAAGCCTCAGTAAGGTAAGGGATTGCCTCCACTTCAACTCCCCCCACCTGCCTATTCCCCCCCCCATCTCTGCCCTTTTGGCCACCCTACATCCTGACTTACAGGGTAGCAAGCAGCCTCAGAACCGTGCAGCTCTGGGACTGCTTGCCACAGTGCAGCTCAGGGGCCTCTTGGCATGCCGTGGCTCTGGGGCTGCAAGAAGCCCCTGAGCCGCAGCACAAAGCCACAGCTACCCCTGGAAGCCTCAGTCGCCCCAGCCTAGCAGTGCTGTGCAAAGCTGCTTTGCCCCAGGAAACCCCACCAGTGCAGCATGAAGCTACAGCCTCCCAGGGAAGCCCCAGCCACCCCAGCCCAGTCCCAGCCTCCCTCACTACTGTGTGCTCGCCCTGGCCCATTGTGAGGGAGATGCTGGCCACGTGAGGCCATCTTCCCCAGGTCTTGTGAGGAAATCGCTGTGTGCAGCCTTGGGAAGAAAGCCTCGTGCAGCTAGCAGCTGCCTTGCAAAGGGCCAGGCTGGGCATGCTTGGTCAGCAGCAAGAGCAAGAAGATGGCGAAGGTCAGCTAGGATGGCAGGGGCTGCGGAATACAGGGGGCCAAAAGGGCAGAGATGGGGGGGGGAGTTGAAGCTCCCCTGTGCTTGTAACTGCAAGCAGGCTGCCAAGCGCCTGAATTTTGATCATGTGACTGCAGGGGCGCTGCAACATCCATAACTTCGGGGACCAGTCGTAAGTCCCTACGTTCAGTGCTGCAGTAACTTTTCAATGGTCGCTGAACAAATGGTCGTAAGTCGAGGACTACCTGTATTGTACACTTACTACTGTACAAAGCCTGAGAATCTATTCTGATGAAGGGAATGTTAGATATAATACTTAATACTATATTTGCAGAATTTTACCATGCTAAAGTTATCTAAATACTAGACCTTTGTTCAGATTAAGCTACAAATAATGGACTGAAATGAGACAGGGGGGTTTCTACTCACCAAGCCGATATCAGAACGATTTTTCCAGAGGGTCTTAAGAGCCCTTCTGGCAACATCTTCAAATATTGTGTCCCCCGTAAGATAACTTAAGGTAGCAAATTCCACTATAAATGTACCAATACCAGCAGTACAAGTAACTGGTGTCTCTCCAGGATTTACCCCACGTAGTAAATTTACTGTCCCATATGGCATTCCAGTTGGAGTCTGAAAGGCTTCAAAACAAAGGTACATATATTTAAAGGGTTGGAAAAGATGTTATCAAGGCCAACTTTCTACCCTATAATGGAATTAAATGGACTACACTATGTTTTATAAAGCCAACACATTGGCTCAAAATATAAAGACTTCTATTAAACAAGGCACCATGCATTCTATGTTTTCACAGAAACAGAAGCCAGTGATCTGCTTTCTGGCATAAAACTTAGTCCCTAGCTTTCACTAAAAGAAAGCTAAGGCAGGTTTTAGTTTCTGCAACAAATCAGGTGAATTAAATCTAAAATGTTCACACAGTTTGGTGTGCAGGTATGTGGGGATAGCTATTTTCCTCCAAAATTCATATTTATGTATTTATCCATCCCTCTGAGTGCTATTATGGTGCAGCCAAAGATTTGTTGTCACTGGAGGGGCAAGGTACATATTTGCAGAAGTTTTGTTATCCCCTTTTGGAAAGTTCTTTAACTGCAACATAACAATATTGTTATCTTGACTCACTTCCCACCAAGGTTCAACAAAGCTATCTTAGTGATGCCTGGGTTGAATGCAGCTGATGAGTTGCCCATCCTGCTTTAGGTGATTGATACTTTTAATCACTATTACAGAGTTACTCTAATTTTGATAGAGGTGTTCTTTCAGCAGGACTGAAAGAACAGCTTTGATATACAACACTACTGTACTGTACAACTATTTAACTTGCTACAATATACTCATTTATAAGCATAGCAGATATGTGAATTCATAGCAACCTTTAATAACGTTTTTTTCCAATGTATATGAGAGTCACAACTCTTGATTTTCAGAACAATGAGATGGCCATCTCTTTGGCATCCCATGATCTATTGGGAAACTTTAGCAGATTCTGGTATATATTACTTACAACTCTATTCATGAAAATAAACTTGGCATGTAGCCTACAATGCAGCAATATGGGGGGGACAGAAGAAATGATAAGCTTCAGCAAGAATGCTCACCTGGCAAAAGTTTTCGAGCAGCATCCTCTGCCATCCTCAAGAGGGGGCCAGAGCATGGCCATCCTGCTTCTACTTTAACACCAGCCTTCTTTGACAGCAAGTGAGCAGACAGGAGGCCGCCAACCACTACAAACATGCAGATCAAGCTTATTTACAAGCAGTAGATTGTGGCAAGGACACAGGAGGTACGTTCATTTTATTATTAAATTTATATGCCGCCCATCTCCCCCAGAGATGACACTCCCAGAGTGTCATCCCCAGAGTGTCCATACAGCTGACTTTCAGTTTTGTCCCTATCATGGCATATTCAAATGAACCAAAGAGCCATGAGGCCTACAAACGTCCCTTGCTTTTCAGTGAAGATAGAAGAGCAAGGCATTCAAATTCCACTTTTCTGGAATGATACTATAATTGTTTTTAACCCGGCAACAATTTTTCCCTTCAAAGGAGATTTTTTATGAGATATTTGATTTGAGATTTCATTTTGCATACTCAAAAGCCGCAAGTCAAGAACAAGCATTTAGGAAAATCACACAAATGTAAAAGCAATTTACTAGATAAGACCAAAGATTTCTAACAGATCTGCCTTCCCTAACTTGTCACCCTCCATATGTGCTGGAGTATTTCTCCCATAATCTAATAGCTGTGCTGACTAAGGATTACAGAAATTGAGACTACAATATCTGATAACCACCAGGTTGGAGAAAGCTGCTGGATGTTTATGGCAGGAGATAAAAATTGTATTCTTTCCTTGCTCCTCTTAGTATGGGAAGTTCTAGAACCTTCTTTCATTATTACTACCTATATTGCAATTCAGACCTAATCCATATAATCTGGCAAGATCCTGTCAACTCACCTCTGATATTGGTTTCAAAGACAGAAGCATTTACATCAATATCAAAATTTATGCCCTCTTGCAACACACTAACAACTCTCTGGAATTCAGAGACATTCCCCAAAATCTGGAAAGAAAAGTAATGGTTTGTAAGACATCATCTTACTAAAGGATAATACAGAACATCACAAGATACAAAACACTGCACTGCCATAATTCATCTTTTCATACTCATAGGGGCTGAAAGTGACCTCTAAGTCCCTCACACCTTCAAGATGTTCTAATAAGGAAAATACATCATCCTTAACCTCCCAAATGGAGAAATAGAAACAACAAGCATGAAGAACAAAAGCTATTCTTTGCTATCTAGAGGATACTGAAAAATGTGTAGAAAATCAATGAGGAATGAAGCTGTTATCAAGGGATGGATAATACTTACTAGTAGCGTATCCAGAGCATCAATCAATGTGAGAGAAAAACTGAAAAAGAAACAATGAGAAAATAAAGCGATGGCATGAGGGAAGGGGATACATCAACCATAAGTAACATGGATGCACACACGTTTTAATACTTAACCATGTCAGGAAAAAATCCACATGTTGTTGCATGAATAAATTTTAGACAGTTTGGATCTGCTCAACCTTCCAAGTAAGAAATCACAGAGTCATTTCTCTGAGATTGCCTCCCAATGAAATTATTATTTTTTTACAAGTAACATTTATGTAAGAAATTATCAGTACATCTGAAGAAGTTGTCAGAGTACTGTCCCTGCATTACAGGTGGACTCACTTTATAAAAAATACTACAGGTACACTGCAAAAAAGGTTGGCATAGCTGCCTTAGACATCCAGGTGTCCACGACTGGATTAAAAGGTCTTTACAAAAATAATGAATGCTATTCTATGTCACATCCACAGATGATCTCACCCACTCAGGCTGCTTCTGTTTTATTAGGCTGAGATACCATCTTTCTTGCGGGACCTCATACATTCCTACAGAAAGGGCATATGTAATACTGTCTCCAATAGTTTTTCCCCAAACTATCCTGTGAGGTAGGTTAGCCTGAGAGAGAGTCATTGGCCCAAGGTCACCCAAGTAACCTTCCATGGCTGAAGGTGGTCTTGAATCTGGGTGTTTCTAATCCACTACACAACTGGGTAGCTTTCCACAACTGAAGCTATACAACTACTATTAATGAGATGCTCTCTTGTTTTCATTGCTATTCCATGTGGTTATTGGCTTAATATCAGCTTTCATTAACTTGGGTGTTTTCTAGGTATGTGGACTTCAACTTTCAGAATTCTGCAGGCAGCATGGCTGTTGCTAAGAATTTTGGGAACTGGAATCTATACATCTGCCCAAGTTGAGAAAGGCTGGTCTAAATTTTCTCAGTAAAAATGTGAATACATTTTTTTCCCTGCCATAAGATCCATTTTCTCTGGTATAGGCATATAGCCCCTGGGCCACGTGTGGCCCCCACAAGGGGAAATGATTAGACAGAGCAATGAAATAACTTAACATGCATGCAACTTAAAAGCTAAATATGCCCCTTGGCTTGACCAAATTCTAGATCCCTGTTCTAGCAAGTTGGGATGTTCTGTAACAAGGTGCTACTTCAAAATTTCATAAATGACCGATGATACTGATTTCCTAGTACCTTCCCCAAGTGTCCTGCCCGTCACATGTCAGAGGACGAAGCTCATCATAGGGAAAGGCATTTACCAGATAGTTATCATAAGCATGATAAAACATGGACTTGACTCGCTCTCTGAGGAAGAAAAGAAAGATATATCAGTAATCTTACTGAAAATGACTAATACAAAACACTGCATTCCCTCAAAATTCTAGGAAAATGTTTCCAGTGTTCCTAAGCACTCCTACATACTCAAAGACCAATTCAAATATAAAAGCCTACCACCTTAAACGCACAACATAAAAAAGATGTTGTATGTATGTAAAGAACAGTATTTCTCGCATGGCTATTCCTCATCAGCTGGAGTATCCCGCTTTGGTATCACAAAACTGAAGGTATTGAAGGAAAAATTTTCAGGGCTATATTTAAACCAGAGACCCAGACACAAGTATACTGAAGCACATACTGGGTTATTGATAGGATCGATAATGGAGGTGGAAGAGAAAGAAGCCTAAGAGGGGTTACAAGCCCTCTTTTTAGACTTATGCGAATTATCCCTTCATTTGATATATTTTAATATAATTACAGGCAATCAATGGGTTAATTCATGTGTATTGGAATGCATAATAAGGGGCAGAGAGGATGAATTATTTCTGCTATACAACAGATCCTTTGGATTAAACAACAGGGTGTCTAGAGTTGCTATTTTAGCTTAGCTGCTATCTAAAAACCTTGAATTCCCCATGCTAAAAGTGAATTCTTTGCAGCTAAGCTTGCATTACTATGGTTAATAATTTCATTCATTTCTTTAGCATCTTGTTACATTTAGTGCACCTTAATTGCTTTTTTAGCTGAGTTTGCAATATTGTTTATTCAACAAATTATAACAGAGACTCAGTAGTTAGCTAGCTAAATTATTAGAGAATTATTTGACTTAAAATTGCAAGGTTGATGTAACCTTCCCCCAGAAAGAATTCAACTTTTAAAACAGTGTCTGCTGCAAGGCTTATGTATAAAACAATGGTCACTTGGGTGTGGCAACTCCACGCACAGCAAAAATGAGGATAACCTAGCTCCATTCATGAGCCAGAAACCAAGCAGTTACCAACATCTACTTTCTAACCAGAAACAATTCTGGTTCAGTTGGAAAAGCCAGGATTACAGAGTGACAAAAAGGAAACACCTTTGTCATTGAACTAAACATTAGCTTAGTATTCTAAGAGTTCCTTCTGGTAGATGGGCAGCTACATAAGTTTAATAAACATAATTATTTTATGTACCAATCCCCCCCCAAATCCCAGCTTTATTACAGGGCAACCCCCCCCCTTTTTTTTTATAGTATAGCTTGACAGCAAAACAATTTCAACACCAAATCACAGAATTGGAAAAAAAATACTATGGACATTTTCAAGCAGAAAAAATCCTATGGGCAAATTATCTCTCAAATGCCTGCATGAACAAACATGTTTTTGTCATCTAAAATTCCACAAGGGGAACTGCGCTTCTCTTGGGAAGGAGTCCCATACTTAAGATACTCTCATCATGGAGATCTGGTCCACTCCCTACATCATGAAATCTCAGATATGGGCTGCAAAAAATCTGAACTGCTGGATGGGAGCAAGAGTTACAATTATCTAGATCTCTTTACTGCCATGTATTGGTTGTGTGGATTTTTGAAGTTTCTATCCAGTAACCCTGTCATGAACCATTCACATTGGTGGTGTAACAAACACTGCTTCCTTGCTCATTTTAAAGCAAAACATGCTTTTAATCAACAAGTAAAAATCAGCGTAGCCCCAGTCAGATAGGAAAACATTTTGCAAAATAATATAATTTTAGCATTATTATCTCTTTTCTCCTCTTTCTATCCTTTCTTTTTCTTCCTTTCTTAATTTTTATCCCAATTTTAATTTGTAAACCTGAAGACTGGCTCAGTGCCCTGTTAGAAGACAAAATTAGACTTCAAGTTAAAAAAAAAAGTTTTAATTGAACAGCAGTGAGTTTACTTTCATTGAATATAGTAGTACTTATAGCCGCATACAAACTACTATATGACAGAACTGGGATTTTTTTGGTAATCTCTGTCTGGTTGAATATCTGAAAGGGTCTTTGCATTAGAATCACCCATCTTGTCCTCTGAATTGAACTCTTTTCTATGAATGTGAAAAGGGGAGACAGGAGAAGGAGAGCAGATGAGACCCAACGTTAATCTCATATGGAAAATTAGTTCTCTAAAATCCACCGCATTTCCCCTGCCTCTTAAAAGGCTCTTCCATCGTCTCCATTCTATCAGAATTAACCAACGGCCGACTCTCTCTTTGCATGTTGATTTCATTCCCTCTGCAAGGAAGTTCGCATACATTTCCCCATTTTACAACTTCAGCGAAACAACTGGGGAATTTGCACGACGACCCAAAATTCAGCAGGTCCACGCTGCCCTTCAGCAGAGGGGCCAGGGAGCTTTACGGGGTCAAATCCTGCCTGCCTGTAAGCCGACGAAAGAGGGTAACCGAGGGAGAGCTGCTGTGCGCCTCGCCTTCCTCTGGACGATCGGGAAGCAGAGCTCCAGGACCCAGGACCCTCGCCCGGCTCACCTATAGTGGGCGATGTCGACCTCTTTCCCGGCGGCAGTGGAGGGTTGCCCCGGCAAGTGCAACACCCACACCCACACCCACAACCAGAACCAGCCCAGCGGATGGAGTGAGCGCAGCATCTACGAAGCATTCGCTACCGAGGTTTCCAAACACCCCGCTCCGCTCGGTCCACAGCCATCCAGAGGGATCGCGCCCTCATTTCCGGGGATCCGCCTCCTTCCGTGGCCCCTCCCTCTCTCTTTTCCACGCTCCAATCAGGAGCATCGACATGCTCGGTGCTCGCGTTAGTGATGACGTGAGATGAAAGGATTGGTTCTCCTCGTACTCTACAATGCGGCTGCGCGAGAGGCGTTGGCGTTCAGCTGCTTAGTTGCAATTGGTGCCTGTACTGGGGTTGCGGCGGCGGCGGCTTTAACTGTGTAGGCGGCTGGAATTTTTAGTTGAATTAGAATAACTTGGCTCTGTCTGGACCAGTATTGTTCAGACTTGGCAACTTTAAGATGTGTGGACTTCAACTCCCAGAATTCCCCAGCCTGCAACTGGCTGAGGAATTCTGGGAGTTGAAGTCTACACATCTTAAAGTTGCCAAGTTTGAAAAACACTGGTCTAGATTGACATCCGTTAGTTAGGATTGTACTGTATGCCACTCAAAGTCATGTTTGTGAGATGGGCTATATAAATTTGATGGATCCATAAATAAATACATTTGATAAATAAATAAAAGTTTGTAGAATCTATGAATTTAAATTTAAGAGACATTTTCCAAAGAGGCACATGTAAAATTCATAAGCTACTTAAGGTTTACAGAATAGTGGCATTTTTTTACATTTCTAAGAACTCTTGGAGGGGAACTGTGTCACTCTGTGATGGCAAAAAAGCATCTGATGAACTGGTCATCAGATGAAGTGAATTGCAGCTTACAAAAGTGTATGCCTTTTAATACAATTTGTCAGTTGGAAAAGTTGCTACCAGACTCCTGATTTTTTTAACTACTCCTGGGGAATGATCCAAAGAGGGTGGTGGCATAAGAGTTGGAGAGCAAGGGAATCCACCAGATGATATTCTCAGATGGAGCAAGGGAATCTCCAGATATGCACATTGTATTAAGAGGAACAGAGATGGGGTTTGGTTGCACAAGTAAGGGTTCCTCTAAAGCTTGCTGGGGGGAAAAAAGAAACAAGCAAAGAAATTAGTGAGCTCTCAAAGTGGCATAAGATCCATTCTTGGATTGTTTAGTACCCAAACTAGCTTGCCCCATGTTTAGCCTTGCATGTTGGACAAACCCAGACAGTGGGTTCAATTATAGTTCTCTGTTGTGTGACTCAAGAAAATTGGGTTGCTTAAATGAACTATGTCATGTTTCTACTGCAGCAAATAAACATAGTTACCACTGTATGTACTATATTCCAGTGCTTTAAATCAAAAGAGGACAGGTCCCTGCTTTGAGAGGTTACAACCTATAATGCAACATAGGGAAGGATATTTATATAACAAGTAGGGTGTGAAGAACTACATTTTGACTATTGAAGTTTTGTTTACTAAAGACCACAAGCATATTTATGCATCACCACAATCACTTGAGGGTTAGTAAGTAGTTGTACCTAGTCTTGCACTTATTAGAAGCTGAAACTCAATCCTGGGATGATAATGAATCTAGGGTGCCACTGTTACCTACTTTGAATTCATATGAGCTGATAAGTTACAGATCATAACTATATATCAGCTTTCCCAACTACTGCTCCCTAAATGTATTGGATATATTCATACCACAAATCCCATTCAGCTTGGTCCCTTGAAGTCCAAATTATCTGAAATATATCAAGTTTGAGAAGGCTACCATATATATGTAATCTTGGAGTGAGTGATTGGTGCTTTTGACAGTATCATATTTGGCTGTGTAGAGGCGCTGCATTCTATGTTTTAAACAATTAACTAGGTATACGAAGAGTTATGTATACTGTTCTCGTTTTTTATTGTGGGATTTGCATGTGTACAACTGCTGGTAGTGATATAGATGTCTCTTACATCAAATGTACCAAGACATAGAAAAAGTGATGAATATTTAGGATTGTAAAACACTAGCAATCCAGATATTGTTTGGTTACAACTCCCATTATCCATGGTCTCTGACAATGCCATCTGAAGGGCCTAGATCTTGCATTAATATCTTTATCCTTATCTCTATCACATACCACAGAAGACTTCATAGCTGACTGCTTGAGATTCTCCACCATATTTATATGCTGTGAAACTGAATCCAAATGGTATTTATTATGAACACTAAGGAGGAAGTGAGTTTAAGGTCATTGCAGTCTCTTTCTTTTGCTCTTTCCAGTATCATTTTCAGTGAGGATGAGAAGCTGACACCAAGAACTTTTTGTTCCACCTGTTGACTGTTTCTTATTATTTTCTATATTTCCCTTGTTTTCTTCAGACCACTTTTCTATAGCAGCAGGATTTACCTCACATTCTATTCCATAATGACCACAAGGAAGCACCACAAACAGTGATGAAAATACTAACTGTTCACCATGGGTTAGATCAGTGTTTTTCAAACCTGGAAACTTTTAAGATGCGTGGACTTCAATTCCCAGAATTCCTCAGCCAAGTTTGGAAAACTGGGTTAGATGAACTACACACTCTAATTCCCTTGCAAGCTGCATAAGAAAGAACTCTGAAACTGGGTAAAGTGTTCCTAGCATAGAGCTAGTGCTACATAGGAAACATCCACTGTCCCTCAAGCCAGGGTCTCTGATACTTTTGATTGTTGTTCAATTGCTGTAGTATATTGTAAGGGTGATCAAAATGTACAAGATGTGTTTTTACTCTGGAAAAAGTGTAAAAATTAGTTCAACATTGATTCCCCACCCCCCTTAATAAGACTGACATCAGCTGCAAGCAAGGAAATAAATTGGTTGCAGAGAAGTGGCCCCTTTTCCTGAATTGTAGTTGGGAGAGGGGCAGGCAGTTTTCTCAAGAGAGCACAAATGGAATGGAGTAAGCGGGGGAGATGGAAATGGCACAGCATCCCCCTCCCCCCTGAAATGCATATGGCACCCATTCTCTGGAGTTCCAGAAGGCCCATTAGATTTGGCTCCGTTCCCAGGCCTGGGGTTAGTGTGCCTGAGGAGGCCCTATTGTGTTTTTATGGGCTCTTTATTGTTTTTATTGCTATGGTTGTTTTTGTTCAGACTGTCTTGTCTTATGTGTTTTTAATTGTTTTTTTAATTCTTTGTAGGATACTGTCAGCTGCCCAGAATCTTCTGGGGTGGGTAGCTATAATGCATTTAATAATAACTACTACTATTTTTGTTTTTGTTCGGGGGGCCACAATTCTTGAGGAATAATCTGGGGGGTCTTGGCAGGTGACAAAAATAATCGGGGTCAGTCACTCTCTTTGGCATACCCTGTTTCTTTGCAGGCCCTGTTTCTCACTCTTGCAAACAGCAGGCTGCAGGAAAGGACAGATAGGGTTATCATGGGGTGAATTTGCTGTCTTGCAGAGAGGTTTGAAATTAGATCAAAGCAGGGCCAGATTTAGACTTGGTGAGGCCCTAGGCTATAAAAAGTTTGGAGGCCCCTTGTTAAAAAGTTACACCAGAAGGTTTCACATAAGTGCGTACCAAAACAGGACCTTGGGGTGCCACAAAAAAATTGAAAACATATATATGCCTTTTAATTATTTAATAGCAAGGAAAATACAAATTATTTTCAAATGAATGTATTTACTGATTACATATTTGTCATTTGGCTGTCTTGATCTCTCTAATAGTTTATAATCTCTCTCATAGATTACAGTACAGATAAAAAGCCACATAAAATTCTAAAAGCAAAAAAAAAAAAATCTCAAATTTTGTGAAACCCTAAGCTGTAGCTTGTTTAGTTTACGCTGAAATCCAGCATTGGACCAAAGGCAGCATGAACTTAGTCTAAAGGCTCCATTTGCCCACCCTTTATATATAACATTGCGTGAATTAATGGTGGCATATAATTAAATGATAATAGTAATAATAACATTTTTCTAGCTCCAGGAAAATTTGAGTTGAGAAAGAAAGGGAAGGATCACCCTTGGCTTTCCATTGACTCTGTAGTGTTACCATTGCTCTTCATATATGGCCTTAATCCTGCTGTTCTATTTCCGAGAGGCAACTTCATGATATTTTATTGTTCTTTGATGTATCCATTCTGTTGTTTAGGTGAGAGACATTTCGCCTGCAGCAACCTTGAAGCTAAAATCTAATTTTTTCTTTGGGGTGCTGTGCCCACTAGGTGTCACTATCGCTTTGTAGACAAAGGTAACAACACACATTCCTGCCAGCTGTCCCTGCAACAACAACAAAAAAAAGCCGCCAAAATAATTTGGACATATTGTTCATTTGGTGCAGTTGTAATTTAGGTTTCTAGGACCATTTATCATAAAGCTGTCTGCTTGCTTATTCTGCGGCTCAAGGCTGCTTGAGTATATCTCACTGCATTCCTGGGATTATCAGAGAACTGAAGCTGATTTCTCTAAAAGCTGTCACAGTACATTATTGGAGTACATTTTATTAAAGTTCATTTTCAAGACTTAAATTTAACAGTGTTCTAGACCATTGTCATTTGCCATACACTGGAACAGTAATTTCTGTATCAAAGTCAGTTATTGAATTCTAAAAGTTGACTAAAGTATTTTTGAAACACAAAGTATGTGACCAGAAAGCAAAATGTAAAGATCAGATACTTTCAAAGCAAAAGATTCTTACATTTTTCAGACTACTAATACTAGCCAGAAGAGAGATTAGGGGCAATTTTAATACACAGAAATTCTTAATCAGTTTGGGAAAAAATGTGAAGTAGATATGGTATTGTATGACGTAGTCTTGCTTATTTAAATGGCCTGATTCAAACACAGAACTAAACCATAATACATTTGTGTATTTAGCTTAACATGTGTGAGCCCACCCAATATAGCTTAGTGTAATGTATGAACCAGTCCACTGTTGTTAAAAAAAATCCTGGGTTACTGTGGGAAAAAAAATGTTATAATATGGAGAATAGTTTTGGGGTCATTAACACTAACATGGGGCTGTTGTGGGTTTATCTTGAGCTAGACTATATGACATGTGGGTTCCTCCAGTCTGTCAAAGTTTCTGGACCCTCTGGCATAGCAGGTGGAAAGTACTACTTTGTTCACTTTAAGGAAGGGACAAAAGGCCATT